TCTCTGTCTCTCTCTTTCACTCTCACTATTTGCTCATAACCTTTCTCACCAATCTGCACATTGGCGATGACAGTCAGCCAACATAAGAGGCAGGACAATACTGACAATAGTAATTCAATACTATTATTCTTTGGGCTCATTCTTATAGGTTCTTCTGACACGACTTTTGGAACCTAACTAACGTACTGCAGCTTTGAGAAAACCCATACAAATTAAGTATCAAACTGTGCGGCTCCGTGGGGACGGGTGTGCTATAACTTTTGGTAGTGATTTGTCATGTTGTCGTATGTTAAACAATCAGTGACGTCTGGTGATAATTTTTGTTGGGGAGGGGCGCAAATTACTTTTTTTTTTTTTTTTTTTAAATTTAGAGATTAAAATCTGAGTAACATCAGGCACAACAATTTACAGTACTGCAAATTCTCTACCTTTGGAGGATATTCTAATCATAATCTAATTTAACATTATCAAGACTTACCAGAACTAAATTTCTAAACCATTCATCAAGTTTTCATCAATATTTACAGGATCTGTACAAACCTAAAACACACAATATAAATAATGAAAAAAACACTATTCAGGGCTCCAGACAAACTTTTTCACTGGTAGCACCAGTACGACCCACTTTCTCATTTTGTTGCACCTCCCACTTTGTCAAAGGCAAAACGTGTGACTTGCTGAACATTTTCTTATCGATAGACGATTTACTGATGCTCCCTAAACGCCCCAGATTGCAGGCTGCAGTAGCTGCTATTTGGTGGCTGTGGTATGCTCTGACATGTGTGCCCAAAAATGACTTTAAAAATAATAAACTAGGGCGTTCTCATGTCAGATTTGTCCGAAGTTAAACTGAGTTACATGTATTCTAGTCTTTTCTACGAGCAGTCTTTTCTCCATTGACAGCAGGCCAGTGCATTAAGCCGTCACGACAGTAGCTGTGATCTAGTAGAAGAGGAGGGGAAAGGCCGTGTGACGGTGTCAGAAAGCACAGTCGTAAGGACTTCAAAGGACAGTTTTGATATCCAACCACAGAGGACAAAAGCAAATAAAGACAAAATTAATTGGCTTACAGCAAAAGTGGACGAGTCCGGGACACACCGAGCTGCGCCCTGTGAGAAAATCTGCAGCTGCCAATCAGAGTCTGGGCCAAGGTCACATGATCACGAAAAGTTTTTTGAGCTACATACACACTCATGTGGCCGGCGCCCCGCATCCAGGAAGTGTAAAATTAGGAAACACGCAGTAAAGACTAATGTTAAATCTGATAATAATACAAATATTGTTAATATAGCAAAATAATATGAACGTTGTTATTATTTTTATTATTATTTTGTTATAATTAATTGAAATGTAATTTTACGTTTGAGAACTACTTTTTATCTGGACATTAGTAGTGGGGTGGCGCCCCTGGCCCCTGACAAGCCGCCACTGTTAAAAATCCCCATTGAAATGAATGAGAAGTCAGCCAGACAACTGCCAAAACCAAGCCATCTTTGGAACCCTGCAGCTGTGACATACTTCACAGTAGAAACTTCACTCAGTTTAAGTGACTCACAAGACTTTGAATGTTATTCATTTAAATCTGTGTTTTGATATCTTTTATGGTTTTAAGCAGTGCAGTTGAAGTTTTATGAGTTTGTTTAATATCCATAATTTTCCATCAGTGACATCATCAAATTTTGCCCTAAAGAATTTTTTCTCCTCTACATGAAAACGTTATACATAAAAATGTATGCATTTTTGTCCTCTGTTGCCCAGTGTAACTCATTGTGATAGGACTTACAGCTTTTTCATAAATTGCCTCAGAACACAGTGTGCTGAGCAAAACTCTTATTGACTCTCATTATATCTGAGCCCCAAAGTTTTGGGTGAAAATTGCAAATGGAAGGTCTCTCTAACCTGCCACTAAATCTGTGTAATACAGAGTACATACATGAAAATATATGTGTGTTCAAAACAAGATTGTGCTTCACTTTGAAAGATTTTTTTCAATATGACTTTTAGTTTTTGAGCTGTGACTGTTTTTTTTGAGGGGCTAATCTTTAGTCTGCTTGTCTGGTCCTCTGTCTGTTCTTGTCACTGCAAGCAACCAGTGACTCACAGATGATTGGCTGATTGATACTGGACTACATTTTCAAAGTAAAAGTTCAAAGATGTTGAACGGTGGTGATCAGGGTTTGTGAAACATGGTGACTTTTCAAAATAAAATGTATTTATAAAACTATACCTTACGAATAAGGTATAAGCAGGTCATATTAACACTCAGAATTGCTTCAGAATTATTTTAGTTTTGGGTTTAAGGCACCAAGTAGTTGTTAATTAATACCGCTATTCAGTGTATCTGTCCGTCCTATTCTTGCCATTTATTCACTGCATTTATGTTGATTTAGAAGTCTTTGATTCTAGTTTATTAAAACTTGGCATGTTTGTAGCGTTGACCATAATTTATGTTAGTTACAATAAAAGTGTTCTCTCCAAAGTAACCATCGATGTCCAAACCCTGCAGAAACACCAGCTGGTCAGACAGGTTGTAAACAAACCAGTGACTTATGAAGATTATCTAGATAATTTTAGTTAGAGGTGACATGGAAATGCTGCAAACAATATCTCATTGCACATTAGGTTGACATCAATAATATTACATGTATTCACCATACCTGTGCTGCTACATGCACAGTTAGTTAAATGAGCTGGTTGCAAGCTGTAAATGCCATAGGTGACATTATGTCAGAGATGATCCTTTTTGATCTGATGTTTGCGGTGGATGTGGACATGTCAGATCATAAATGCAGACTTGACTTGAGTTTAACATAGCCAAATATAGAAAAATAGGAAATGGAACAAACTTAAAAAGAGGGTGTTGCCCATTTCAATACACTGTCCTATTTTGGACTGTCTCAAGAATAAGTTGTCAGTGTTTGGAGGCATGGTGAAATCTTTGGTCATTAGTGTAAAATTGTGGAAGTAGCTGTTATCTCAGTGTGTGCCTTATGCAACGTTTACAAATGTAAGCACAGTCTTATCATAACTGTTGGGAGTAATTACCAAATGAAAATAAAATCTAAGTTGCGAAGCAGGTGTGTAGTAGTTGAAAGTTCCCTCCATGTTTGAGCCAGCGTTTAGTTCACCTACACTAGAGTATTGATGAAGCTGCTCTATAGGTCTTGGGCTTGGAGAGCCATTACTAACTAACTAACTAACTAACTAACTAACTAACTAACTAACTAACTAAATTAATAAAAAACATTTTAGGAAATCTTAATTTCATCTTAAAACCAAGTTTGACAATACCAACACCATCCAAATAGAGCTGCGTATGCTAAGGAGTGTTATTTTCTGTCACTGAGTGTTTGCTCATACAGTCACAAGATTTTCATTTTCTCCTGAGTCCCACTTCTCTGTTTTGAATGCACACAGATGGACTTGTGTACACATGCTGCATGCTTGTTGGCTTGTTTTTCACTGGCCATCATCTTCTGATCTTCCTTATCCTGGGTATTGCTGTATATTAAATTTGATAATACACACAATATGGAAAATAACGAAAATCTCATTTCACATTGCATCAGTGTTTCGCTCAAATGGCCTTAAAGTCCCATTGAAGAGGGATGATGTTCATTACTTGTGCTTTCTGTAAAGTGGTGTTCTCTTTTAACTGAGGTAGGGGCTTTGGGGATACCAGCATGGATTATTTGGCTGATAAGTTCACAAACTCTTGGCCTAGAAATCTCATACTCTGAATTTGCCCAACAGAAATGTTGACATAGCAGTAAACTCTAATGACATGTCCAGAATAGCTGCATAGCACACTGTATTTAGTTTTGTTCACATTCTTTATTTGAAATCGAAGTCTAAACCACCTAAACTAAGACCACGCAATGATCAAGACCAAGACAGTCAAGTCCAGGACCTGACCAGTGCAAGTCCAACACTGCATGACACCACTGGAAGTGATGCTCTGAATCAAACCATGTATTCATAGTTAGCTAATATGTGTATCTAAAATTTGTTTCGTATTCTTGGGTGAGGCCTGAGAAGGCTTTTAAAGAGTTTGGCTGCAGAGGCAGATAGCTAGCTTACGTGTCTTTATGCTTCCTTTCTAAGTGCTAATAAAAGTTTTACGTGGTCTCAGCTGTCTCAGTAAGCGCCGCATTGCAGAATTTACATTTAGGTATGTGTTTTCTTTTGAACAATACCTTTGTAGATGAACTCTGGTTTTGCATGAAATGGGGCCAGGAAGGGGTGACAGCCACTAACAGTAACACAATTAGTCCAGCCAGTGGATGCATTAGAAGCAGAACGTTTCACATCCCATTACAAAAATCAAGTTACCAAAAAATTAATCAGACAATGCAAAAGCAGTTGAGTGATGTCTCTGCTGCTGTGGTTTTAATACTAAAGCCAGAGTCCTCTGTTTGAAACCAAGACAAGACCAATTAAAAATGTGGACTGTTTGAAACGAGGCAGTGATTTTCAAAAATTGTTCACTGTGGTAGTCGTGGCACGAGTGACATTATTATTGCAATTAGTACAATGAAAAACAGAGCTATTTTGTTTACAAACAGTGTCAGCGATAACACACAATTATGATTCATAATTGTCAAACATCTCTGTTCTTCCTCTCACAGAAGAATCGTATCGTATGAGTGTTGTAGAGAATAGTGAGTATATTCACTGTTCTCTACAACATGTATGTATGGGAGAGTGATTTGAGATACAGCCTGAGTCTTGTTACCATTAGAGCATTGATTTTGATTTCACTATAGAGCTTTATGTACACACACAACATGTCACCAGTCAAATTGAAAGTCATTCTTTGTCCATTCAGAAACTTGTTGGCAGGTCTGCCTGGGTTGGGTCTGAAAATACGTTGAGGCAGAGTATCTGAATGTTACATTCAAGCTGGTTAAAGTCAGTAGTGATGAAAAATGATGATGTACATATTTTGGTTTGATAAAAACACTAAAGTGATGTTGTGCCGTGTGCTCTGCTTTTTTTAGGCAACCTGACAAACTGAGAGTTGTGTGGATCAGGAGAAACAGACGTCACAGCACAAAGGTACATTAAGGAAAAATTGCCCAAAACTTTTAAGAAGCATTTACAATAATTTAAAATTATGTGTAAAACTGTCTTTGACTTGAAATGTGGTTTTCATATGCTGAATCATTTCCCTGGGAAATTTAAGGAACAATATTTGACTTTTTTGTTTCTGTTTTATTTTCTTTCAGCTCCACAGCTGGCAGCCGGGGATTAAGAACCCCTACAGAGGCCTGGTTATTTGGCAGGTTCCAGAGAGCTTAGACATCACTGTCACACTTTTCAAGGTATGACGTTAAACCTCTGTGTAACTGCAGCTCATAAATTGTTTGTATTGCAAATGGGGAATGCGTAACTTATTCATCCGAATGGTCTAGCTAAAGGATCACGGAATTCTTTGTTTGTCAACAGGAGCCTACTGCAGAGGAGTTTGAAGACAAGGACTGGACATTTGTTATTGAAAATGTAAGCCTGCTATATTTGTACATAGTTGGTAGTGACTTCATTTCATTTATTTAAGTTAATTTTAATTGAAAAACTTAGTGGGTCAATATACACTAATACACAAATGAACATACGTCTTCCTTGATTTGCTATCTTAGTAAACATTCTCTTAATATTTTGTGGTCTCAGTTGTTAGTTTCAAGACTTTCTGAACACTACATAATGTTCATTTTGTAAATTATAGTTTACATATTTAGTATAAATTGACGATAAAGCAGGGTATGATATAGGTCGGGGGTACCTTGTGATTGACAGGTCATCCTCAAATTCTCAGTCAGCTCCACTGCTGGCTTGCCACAGTTTAAAAAACGTCAAGATAGCAATGGTCAAATGCCGCACTTGAGGCTTCTAAACTGTATTTCACATACCATTGGGTGACATCACAGTTTCTATGTCCATCTTTTACATACAGTCAATGGTTTTTTGTGTTTCACCCACCAAGGTCTGAATTTTGCCTGACCTCAGTGTGTGCTGTGGTGACTGGCACCAATATCTTAGCAGCAGTGTATTTAGGTCCTGAAAGTTGTCAGGTGAGTGGAAGCTAGTGTAGATGATCCAACACATCCCCCACCACTCTGTGGCCCATTCATGGTTTGCCCTTACTCAGACCCGTGTCAGTACTCACTGCTGACCAGGAGCACCCTACAAGTCTTGCTGTTTTAAGGCTGCTCTAACCTAGTTGTTTGCCGTATAGTCATGATCAACTGGACCTTGTTTCAGTCACTCAGGCATTTACACATGCACATTTCTAGCACACCCAAACTATTGACTTTAAGAAGTGAATGTTTACTCAGTGTCTAATATATCCTGTGCCTTAATGTGTTCTGTTGTTACAAAAGGTAATCAGTGATATTTACTTTCTCTGTGAATGGTCATCAATTTTTTTTCTCTCACGAAGACTGAATTTGTCTATGTTCCATCTTAAAGTTCTTGTCTTTTTTTTTTTTTTTTAACAGGAGACAAAAGGTCGCAGAAAAGTGTTGGCATCGGTTGATGTCAATATGAAGAAGTATGCCAGTGCCACGCCAGCCCAGTATGATGTAACACTGAAGCTGAAACCACTGTCTGTGAAAGTAGTGGAAGCCACATTAAAACTGAACCTGTCTTGTATCTTTCTTAAGGAGGGCAAGGCAACGTAAGTCAACTCAGGAACATAGCAACACAGCCTCAACCTCAATCATTTTCCTGCTGTAAATATGTAGAGTTGTGTCCTAGAACTTAAATTTGTAGCTGAAAGCAAGGTTAGATCAGTATGGGCTGTTGAAAAGATGTTTTTGGAAATATATATTTTTGTGCGTGTAATGATTTGCGAATATTCTTTTTCTACTCTCTGCAGGGATGAGGACATGCAGAGTTTGGCCAGTCTCATGAGTATGAAACAGAGTGACATTGGTAATCTTGATGACTTTAATGACAGTGATGATGAAGTTAACGAGGAGAGAAGGGCTGGCTTTGGAACAGGACAAGTTACTCATGCTACTGGTAAGACTGGGGGCATGCTCGAGAATCCCTGTGGGCTGATTAAACCAAATTACACCCTGAGGCATAATACTGGCTTGTAGTTTTAGTTGGGACACGAGCAGATATTGCAGGTTTTGGGGTGTATGGGCATCACACATTGAGTGGGCAACTGGCCTGAGCCACATATGAGCAGAGGATAGTGACTTTTGGGGTAGAATCTCAATTGACGCTCTGAATCACAAGTCTCCCCACAGATTTAGCTAAATTCATGTAATCACATGATTTTTTGTGCATATAGCTACATGGATACAAAGTGGGTCAATTGAACTCAAGGCTAATAACACAAATATCTGCATCCTGTTTTCACCTATAAACTTTCTGAAAGGATATGATGATTTATATCTCCATTGCTTTGACGTTTCTTGTTGTCTAAGAGAAGATGGATTATCAATACTAATTGCTGCAGAGCTCTTGTTAGAAAACACAGACTCAACAAATGATGTTTAACTTCTTTACTCCGGAGAAAGAGGACTTCAACATGATTAAAGATGATTGTTTGCAGCATAGACACACAGTAGGTGTGTTTCTGACATGAAAACACCCAGAATGGGAACATGAGAGCAGCCTCCTTTTAAACTGCAGCATTTATGGATAAACATAATAACTCTGACAAGGTAATACCAGATGTTAGTTAATTACTGCTTTCAAGTGCGCATTCCCAGCTAACCCCATACTTTGCAACAGTAGTAGCCTTAGAAACAACATAAAATGCTCTATACTGTTCATCAGGCTACATTAGTTATCAACATATGAAATAAAAATAACTTAAACAGTATTAACCAGAAAAAATGCTTAAATCTGGCAGAGAAAACTTCTATCATCTCTGACTTTTTGCACAGTCAACTGCTGCATAATGGATTAATTAAGGGATTACATGAAATGCTAACACAGCAATTAAGACAGAGCTCACGTCATTACCTCATCATCTAGCGTAAACGGTAACTATCTACATTTGCAGTCCACACAGTCTCTGATTAGAGGAATTCATAACAACGCTTCTTTCAGGATGTTGGTCTGCTTGCCACTATTCTTCGCATCTCCATGATGTATAGGGTGTCCATTGAGCATCATGATAAATGTGGCAGCCACGATTTTCCGTAGTTCTGATGGAGTAAGAAGGTTTGGACAGGGTTGTTATATATTCATTTATTGATGCAGTCTGGGGGTGCGCATAGCTCAGCACGCTAAGCGCCCCCTTCCCGCACCAGGAACTAGTCCCGGAGTCGGAGGGCCCGAGCTCGTATCCCGCTCGGGGCTTGTCACACTTTAGGGTGGCGCAGTTGGTAGCACTGTTGCCTTGCAGCAAGAAGGTTGCTGGTTCGCGTCCCGATGGGGGTACCGGAATCTTTCTGCATGTTCTCCTTGTGCAGCGTGGGTTCTCTCCGGGTTCTCCGGCTTCCTCCCACACTGTCCAAAAACATGCTGAGGTTAATTGGTGATTCTAAATTGTCCGTAGGTGTGAATGTGAGTGTGATTGGTTGTCTGTCTCTAAGTGTGGCCCTGCGATAGACTGGCGACCTGTCCAGGGTGTCCCCTGCCTTCGTCCTGAGTCAGCTGGGATAGACTCCAGCCCCCCCGCGACCCTAGTGAGGATTAAGCGGTGTATAGATAATGGATGGATGGATGATGCAGTCTGGGGCTGCACGGTGGCTTGGCAGTTAGCTCTGTCACCTCATAGCTAGAAGATACCCAGTGCATGCCCAGGTTAGGACGCCTGGGATCTTTCTGTGTGAAGTTTGCATGTTCTTCCTGTGAAGTGTGGGTTCTCAGTGGGTCTACTGGCTTCCTCCCACAGTCCAAAAACATGCTGAGGCTAATTGGTGATTTTAAATTTTCTGGAGGTGTGAATGTGAGTGTGCTTGTTTGTCTCTCTGTGTAGTCCTGTGATAGACTGGCGACCTGTCCAGGGTGTCCCCTGCCTTCACCCTGAGTTGGCTGCAATAGGCTTCAGGTGACCCACGACCCTAGTGAGGAATAAGCGATGTATAGCTAATGGATGGATGACACAGTCTGTACAGTTCCTCTGAAAAGCAGAACATATGACAAATTAAGATCGTCCACGATATATGATCACCAGAAAGCTCAGCCCAATAGCGGGCATACAGAGTCCAAGCAGGCCATGTTGTTATAAGTTTGTGGTTATTTGACTAAGGATCTCAAGTTGACACCCACACTATTGCCTAATGTAGATCGCGAGTTAAAAACCTCCATTATGTCAGTTTATACTATGCTTAATGAAGTTACTGCAAACTCCTCATTATTTAAAAGCTGATATTTTGACCTTCTGGAGGATGTGTTTGGCCATGTAGCCAATGAGAGCCATTAACCAGCAACATACAGAAAGTTTTAACAGCAGTTCAAGACAGTCAAGATAGCAGCAGCTGGGTTCCATGGTGTTCCAAGGGAGTGTGTGCACATTTGAGCTGTTTAGGAGATGGGACCTCAATAGCACATCTTCACCCTCCGATCATTACTGTGCTTATACTGATTGCAAATGTCATCAGCACGAAATGGCAAGTCTTGTTGCTGTGATATTTTGATTTTGCTTTGTACTGTGGGAAGAAGTGTTGACGCGCCATCCATTTTTATAAACAGTTTATAATTAAGGGAAACACGCTCTGGTGCAACCATAAAGATGTGTGCTTTTTCAAGTCAGTAAAATGTCAATCTTTAACTTTGTCTGTCAATGAAAGAAGAGGGATAATATTGCAGTTTTCTGTTTTTTTTTTTACAACTCCATATACTACAGTCCATATTTTAATGTTAATTTGAGGTTATACACGAGGCAGATCTATCAGTGTTATATCTAGACCCAAAGGATATTTCTGTCAGGTACTCTGAGAGTCTTAGTTTCTAAAATCTGTTGCTGTGGCTCAGGTGGTAGAGTGGGTTGTCCTCTGATTGCAAGGTTGGCGGTTCGATCCCCTGCCCCTCCACAGTAGAAGTGTCCTTGGGTAAGACACTGAACCCGAAGTTGCTCCCAATGGCAGGCAGCACCTTGCATGGCAGCTCTGTTACCATTGGTGTATAAATGTGTGTGTGAATGGGTGAATGAGAAACACATTGTAAAGCACTTTGGATAAAAGTGCTGTATAATTGCAGACCATTTAAATATAGATATTTCATTTCAATATCATTTTTGTGTTATGAATATTACACCAGCAATGCCTGCCATGTGGATTGAGCCTTTGGTCCCCTGCCTTGACCAAGTAGCTGGAAGGAGAAACGCATGGTTATCAGTTCTCATCTTTCCATTCGCCTGTAAACCGTTTCTCAAACTGCTGCAGCTTTCTCTTTCATTTCCTACTTAAAACTCCCACTTTATTTTAATCTTTCTATCTGCTGTTCCTTTCTCTTCCTATAACAGCATCTGCTCCCTCTTCTGCAAGAGTGCATGATCTGGCTTGGAGGCCTGCAATTGAAAAAGGCTCCACAGGTAACTTTCAGTTCCTGTTGTTGCTATCAACAGTCCACTCTGTTGTCTTATTCCTCTTCTCCTTTTCACTTCTTCTATTCCTCTCCTCACTCATGGTTTCTTATTTGTTTCCTCAAATATACCACAAAGCCTAATTTCTGCATTTCCACTTTCATCCATATGTCTTAATTGTCATACTTCTCCCGTCTTCTTATCTACTTATTCCCTGTTTACCTTCTGGTCGTCATGTAATCTCTCTCCTCATCTTTTCTTCTCACCCTGTCCCCCCATGCATTTCATCTGTTATCTTCACTCAGTAACCTCAGAGATGGACTGGAAAAGGTCTTCTGGCATTTCCTCCACCATCTCGGCTCCATCTCATCCTCTTCTGCCTGAACCCCCAGACCCCTCTGTTCCACCTTCCTTATTGCGAACCCAAACACAAGCACCGAGCACTACCGAGCAGGCTCGGCCCTCCCTCTATGCCTACTCATTGCCAGCCTTTACACGTGCTCACCCTCCTGCACTTCCCAAAATCTTCCAGCCGAGTGGCGGATCAGGTACCGCAACACAGATTTTCCTCATCGTGTGTGCTCTTTTTTTTAGGGTCAGATAATTATGTTTTTTGATGTTTGTGCCACTTTTTACTCAATGCCTCTCTCTTTGTAGTAGGGCTGGACCCGAATATCTGAATATTTAGTCGTTGTGGTGGTATCCGGATATCAATTTTGAGATCCAAATATTGCCCTCGATGATATTTGACGATGATTTCACACATTTTGTAGCACTAGTTGCAGATCCATATTTCACAGTTTCCGCTCCACTCAATGTTGACGTTTCTGTAACTGCTTCTCAGGTTTGCTCTTTTAACACAGAATATACATCCAGTTAGTAGTATAATTGTGTAGTTTGAGCATAATTTTCACAGTTTAAGAAAAAGAACTATGGAGTTCACTGAACATTTAAAATTTTTGCTTTGCATCGATTTGAAAGCTGGTACTTAAGCGTGATTTACTAATTCATGTTAGCTAATGGGGGCTGCAAGGTGGTGCAGTTGGTAGCACTGTTGCCTCTCAGCAAGAAGGTCGCCGGTTTGCGTCCCGGTGGGTGGAGTTTGCATGTTCTCCCAGTGCAGTGTGGGTTCTCTTTGGGTTCTCCGGCTTCCTCCCACACAGTCCAAAAACATGTTTAGGTTAATTGGTGATTCTAAATTGTCTGTAGGTGTGAATGTGAGTGTGCTTGGTCTCTAAGTGTAGCCCTGTGATAGACTGGGGACCTGTCCAGGGTGTCTCCTGCCTTCGCCCTAAGTTGGCTGTGCTAGGCTTAAGCGGTGTATAGATAATGGATGGATGGATGTGAGTTAATGATAAATGTCTGGCTGCACCTCACTATCAGTCTGCTTTAGGGGTAAAAACACTCTGACTTGTTTGTATTTCTCTAAACAAATCACAATCATCTTGGTAGGGCTAAGCGAAGAATGAGTCTTTGGTTTTGCCTCAAACAAGTGAAAGGTGGAATTGTTTTGGTGGAACCTTTACATACAGGGAGACAAGTTCTGTCATTAACATGGATAATCAACCAAAGAAAACCCAAACAAAGCTAACAGGGCTTATTGTTACAAGATCCAAATCCTAAGCAAAACTTTTTTCATCATGGTAGGTTGCTAGCCGGGGGTTTGTTGCCGTTGTTTTCCATAGCGAAGTAGATTATGAAAACAGTAACACAGAGATAGTGGAAGGGCTCCTGTACTACAGCCTGTGTCCAGTGACTCATACTAGTGCTTTTGTGGTAGATAAAAGGTCAAGTGGTGGACCGTTATATACCTTATCTGAACTAGTAATTTATTCAGAATAGACTTATACCAGAGACAGGCTTTTAAGCTGAATGTTTCTGTTTTTTTTGTCATTATATTCTATTATATTTTATGACAATACTGTTTTTGTATACTGTTTCCAGTGGTTTCCATTTGCAATTGTTTGGTGGCTGTTGAGTTAAGATCAGTCATTTAATGATTTCTATACACATATGCTGCATTAAAACCCTTCCAGCTGCTAGTTTTTTTTGTAGCCTCTGGAACTGGCAAAATCTGCAGAGGGGCAGCTTGGCCAGTCAGAACTGTTTCATACAAGCAGAACAGAGGGCCAATTTGTAAACCATGCAAAAAGATACAAGTAGATCCCCAGAATACAAATACTGAGCTGGAAATATGCACATGTCCCCTGTAAAACTTATCTGACGTTTTGTCATAAGTTAGATGCTTGTAATTGGTCTCTGGCTTCTTCTGCTCTGAACGGTCCAACTTCAACAGGGGAGTAAAAATCATATTTCTGCTAAGGAATGATCTGAATGTCCTTATTTTGATTCTTGGAGCTTCACCCAGGCTCTCTTTTATTTTCTTCATCAGTGTACTTTCGAAATTTCCTGCCAGATGTCTTGTGGATTGGTCCATTTGCACAGCAATAGTCCCTTGTCACAGTAACTTTGCGTGCAGAAATACTTCTGGCTTTTGGCTTTCCTCCATTCCACATACAGACAAAGTTGTTTCCAGGCCAGTGAAGTCAGGCTAAATGGATTGCTGAAGCAGATTCTGTACAGATGCATTTACTTGTTTTCTAAGCCATGCTTTGATCTGTCCTGAAGAGCTAAAACGGAAGCAGTATATGAAAGAAAATAAATATATTCTTTATGTTTTTTTCTGGAGCCATTGTTAAACATTTATACCTTCACTGTAAACTAGTGGGTAGACAGTATAGACAGACTGGCAGTATTAAGAGACTGACTAACATGCTAACTGGTTTGGTTCTGCATGTGGGATTTGATGACACTAAAAGAAATATAGAATATCATCCCACAGAACATCACAGTCAGTGAGTAAATACACAGTCCACCGCGACTTGGTGTAATGGGGGGCAAAGTCATTGTTGTGTCCCTTGTTGCAGCCGTTGCTGCCCCAGAAAGATTAATTTGTAACATACAAAAAAAAGGTGGAGTAATTTTTGTAGTTGAGTAATGAGATATTTAAATGATATTCAGTTGCTCGCAAGATATGTTTGTTGAATTTAGAGGACTTGGTTTGCCTCACTTCACATGAAGACAGAAAGCAGGTATTCCCATCTTTGTCTAGAATTCAAAACACATACCATCAGCTTGCTGATTAACATGTATGTAATTTGTTTAATCCTTATACAAGCAGACTTGAAAAGATAATTCTGGGTGAATGGCCGAACAGCTGATTTTCAAGATATAGTTCCAGCACGTATCTCCTTTTAAAGTCACACATTGTCATATTTGCATTTCTGGTAATGTACAGGTTAAATTAAAAAGGCCCCAGTGTAATCATTTATTAAGGTTAAGATAAACTGATGATGTGCTTTTGAACTTGGACAGAGCCAGACTGGCTGTTTTCCCTTGTTTCTGGTCCTAATGCTGAGCAAGGCTAACCACACCCTGACTCGAGCTCTGTATTTAACACATAGACATGAAAGTGTCGTTGAATGGTACCCTACCATTAACTATGCCCAGAGTGGGTGGAGCGCCTGAGGACACTACATTATTTTTTCTAAGTTGTTGCGACTTTGTTATAGTCAGGAGACATACATTTAATGGAATTACTGTTACTGTCATTATTATTATTTTACAATTCTCTACTTGCAGTTTTCTTGACTTTAACAGTTCTATATTTCTTTAGTCTCACCATTTTCTGTCTTTTGGTTTATCTTCCCACTTCCCCCTTTCCTCTTGTCTTTCTGCGAATTCATGGACACGCTCTCCTGCCTTTTGTGCCTATGTCAGCTCCTCGAAGGCCCCATAGCTTCCACAGTGACTCCTTTTCAGCTGAAGACTTGGAGGCCAAGGCTTTCCCTACCTTCATCCCCCTTAAAGCCCTCTCCACATCTTCCCTCTCCTCTTCACCCTCTGATCCATCTCTCCATCCCTCTGCTTTCCCTGGCACCTCACAAACAGGTTTGTTCAGTTCAGAATTGTTATTGAGATTTGATCACAGACATGAGAATAGCTGAAGAACAACAGCGCTGCACATATAATGCTATTTTTGCATATTTGTTTTTTTAAAGTAACTTTTTAAAATAAATTTTGGAAGTGTATAAACAAGCAGGATGACAATGTCGGGAACATGGACATTGCAATTGACAGTGCCCTTTACGATTGCCGACCCACCACCCCATCCCACCATTCCAAGCATGTCAGTAGATATGTGGTAGCATAAAATTAAAATAATAACTAAATAATAGATAATAAATAGCTAATAATACAATCAACTATTAGAACATGATAACAGATTGTACAGTTTAAATACCAGCATAACCATGGCTACAAGTAGAAAGTCAAAAACACTTTTGTAGAACACGAAAGTTAAATACCTTTGGCTATTTATTTTGCAAAAACTTGGCATGGACTCACAGTGCAACCTTTTACGAGGTATCCACACTAGAAAGCTCAGAAATTCATTTTTAAATACAAGGGTGTGGCTCTGGAGAGGATTTAAATGAAAGGGAAAAATGACTCATATAAGCTCAAGGCTGGATTAAAATCGTTGACCAGGACAGATAATATTAAAATCAACACACCTCCCCTGTAGCAATAATCTTGTCTGAATGTTGTTTTAGAATGCTTTAATCCCTTTGTCATTCCTATCTCTTTTCTTTTCTTTTCTTTTCTTTTCTTTTCTTTTCTTTTCTTTTCTTTTCCTCTCTCAGTCTGTCCTAGTGCCTGGGAAGCACAAAGTGTTCCTTGCGTTTCTTCTTCCTCCTCATCACGTTCAGCTCCTACCAACTCCTTCCCTTCTATACCTCCACCGCCTCCTGATCCCAGGCAGCGCAAAGCTCGCCCCACCTCCGTGGGGGAACCGGGCTCTGCCCTCACTAGACCCACCAGTCTGCCATCTGCCCCTGAGACAGGTAAAGGGAAAGAGAATAAGTGTAGAACAGGCATCTCATCATAGGCTTCTTCTCACCTATTACTATGTCTTTATTGATGTTTCTTCTTCATCTATCCGCCCATGTTTTTTCCTTCTGCTTTATTTCAGCTTCCTGGCAGACTGAATGGAGGCCTCCTAAATCTCAGGCCCCTCTAGCACAGCCTGCCCTCTCTCCTAAGTTTTTACATCTCTCTGCCAGTGATCCTGGACAACCTGCAGTGCTGCAGAAAAAGCAGAGAATAGAGATACCATGTAATGCTGCTCTACTTTAACCCAACTGAAGCTTACCAACCTCCCCCGTTGACCTCCCTGTTGACACTCTCTGTTGCAGTCTCGTCCCTTTGATTCATTTTCTCTGTTCTCATCTTAACCTGTCCTAACATTTGATTTACTGACATATTACTTTGATATACCCTCACTAATTGAGCACCAAGATCAATTTTGAAAGGCTAGAGTGAGTTGAGCAACACCCAAGTATAGCTTAAAATGTCAAGACATTTAAGTTGTGACTTTTGAATTCACATTGAAATCAGTTCAATTAAATTTTTTTATATAGCGCTAATTCACAACATATGTCTTCTCATAGCACTTTAAATAGTAAGGTAAAGACCTTACCACATGCTGTGTGTATATCACCGTGCTGGTATCCATGCTGTAAGCAGCTTGGATAACCATTTTATGGATGCATTGGATTTGGGATCAGTCTACAAAAAGCATAGGTCTAATGATATTCTGTGTTTTCATATTGTCAATCAATCCCATGTACAGAGTCACAGCAACAATGAATGTACCCTACTGCTCTGCCCCACTCCCCTCATCTTCACTCTCACCTCTTTTTTTTTTTATTGTTTAAGGCTGTTTTTTTTTTTTTAAATTCCTTCCCACCGTCGCCGTCTGCTTGCTCATAGTGAATCAAAGTCAGCTTTGGATTGTTGAGTTCTCTGTTCTTTGTTTTAAATCCACAAGGTCTTTCCCTTACTGTTTGAAGTGCTATGAGATTACATATGGTGTTAATTGAGTTGAAGTGAGTACTACTGTGTCTATCAAAGGCTATAGAGAGATCTTATTCCGCTCAGGTGCACACTGGCTAGCATGTTGTATCAGCTTGATTGTCACTTTAATGTGTGTGTGTGTGTGTATGTCCTTCATTTAAATGAGCATACACCATCCTACTATGTGACATTCTCACTAGAGGACGAAACAGAGAGTAGTATGCTGTTGAAACTAGTCTCCAACAAGTGCACAATTTCTCCTATTTGAATGACATTTGTGAAAAAGCGAGGAGCTGTTTTAGGAAATCGTTGGGCCTTTATAAACGAACTGATATTCTTGTGAGTTTTTTTTTTTTTCAAAGTTCAAAGGCAGCACAGTTCTCCCTTTAATAATTGGCCTTTTCACTCACCTACCTGCACACCCTACATCATATATTTGTCACTAACTGTAAGACACTGACACAGGAGACAATGTCTGCTGAACTGATTTTGAAAAGCACTCTTCAGTTTTGGGTCATTGAGATTTCACGTTTTATTCTTTCATTTGTCCCCCCCCTTTCTTTCTCTCCTTATTTCCCCTATCAGCTTCATCCTCTCTGCCCACTGCTCAGTCTTTGGATCAGAAACCCCTGGGAGGTTCTGAATATGTTTCTTCTTGGAGACCTCAGGTCACCGCTGCAGTAGAGACCCCCTCACCCTCTCCTTTAAGCCTTTCCTCCGCTCTTGTGTTCTCTGGGTCTTCTCCTCAGCCTCATATATCTCAAACTGCCATTGTCTGCCAGAGTGAGCAGGATGCAGGTACAAAATCAAAAGAATCTGACTGGACTCAGCACTAAAATGAGTGGCCAAATCCTTGCAACATGCAAGCATTTGGCTCCACCTGCTGGTTATTTATATTAAAGCAATTGAGCGCTTAATTCCATGTGGTAAAAATATACATTGTACAAGCTGCGCTGATATGGCGGTATGTGAGCATCAGCTTTTAGGTTAATCTGGAAAATGTTCTCTGTGCTTATAATTCCTTTTAGAGTTCAAGAGGCAGCTGAGCACACTGAGCGAAGAGGACAACCAATGTACAATACCTCCAAGTGAGTATCAACTTAGTATTCAGTGCGCTCATACTTATACACAATGACAACATGACTGACTTAATGTCACTGCATATTGTTTAGCCTCTGACCCCAGACCCCCTATCAGCCGGAGGCCAGAAATGTCTAGAGCTTCAGAACAAAGAAGAGATGCTGGATTTAGAATTGAAGTTGTCAAGGCCTCAGCACGGTGAGTAAATATAAAAGACTGCCCTTTGTCATGTTTGACATTTTTTGCCATTTGGTGTGGTCAGCATGGCTGTGAAGAAATAATCTCTCCCCAAATTCTCCAACACTGTTACCAGTAATTCTATCAAATTGTGTTTTAAGTGCATTTCACGAATTGTAAGCAAGTATGTTTATTTGTGGCTTGGAAACTGCTACCTCATAACAGCTGAGAATAGTCTTATTGTTGAAAGAGCAAATAAAATTGAACACTGATTTGGCAATTTTTAAAGTTCAGATATACTTTTATTGCACTTTTCAAAATACAAATGACAAACACAAGCTCAACAAAGTAGTAATTCTATTTTGTTGAGCTTGTGTTTGTATTTTGAAGAGTGCATAAAACGTAAACATGATCAATGTCATCAATAGACAAAATGATCAATTAAGGAAATCATAATTCTGTTCAGTGTTGATGATGGGTTTTAAACATGACAGTTAGTGGATGAAAAATATTTTAATTATTTGTATTTTCCATTTTTGTGGCAATTGCACATAGGAATTTCTCACAAAAATGTCTTCATTTAAGTGAACAGAACAATTCGGAAGAAAACATATAGTACCAGAGGGATGACAATCTTGCATGTGAATGATTGCATTTGTTTCTTGATATGAAATCAAACATCCCAACAAGAATACAGCGTGATAATAAATTTGTAAATTTGTCAGCTTAACGTGGAAGGTTAAAGCTTAACCCTCAGGGCTGATGACATGGATGTTTGTTTAATTTGCCAAAATATGGGGCCACATAGACAGCTACATTCTCCTACTTAAATTGGATGACTTCCTGTTGCAGGCTTGGTTTGAGTAAAAAAAAGAAAAAGTGTGCTACTGTATTTCTGCAGATGTTGTTGCTACAACCCTTGCTTGAACTTTCAGTCAATGATAGCTGTTTTTTTGAGGTTTATTCTTGGTCTTTAGACCAACTTGACAACTGATTTGACCTGGGTTGTACACTGATGGACTCACAACAGAACAACAGATTATGCCTGGAAATGCAAAACACATTACTGGAGCATGTGTATAACAGTGTTAGAGATTTTAGGGCTCCACTATTAATTGCACTGCATGTATGCTACTGCTAAGCACACATGGTATATTGCAATTACAGCAATTATTTGTTAAAATTTTGTTGGTCTCTTGTACAGTGACATTTAACATCTCAATGGCATCTGTTTGGTGTCATTTTAGACAAAGAAGGTTTTTTCTCAGATAGTCAAGGTTTTTCTTTCTAAACAAACATGGGTTTATGTTTTTAAATGTTTGCATCAATATGAGAACCCTTATCCAAAGCACTTGAGGGTTAACCTCTCATACACTCTTTCACTCACTGGTGTCAGTGAGACACCCTGTAAAATACTGGCCTTGCCAACGATCAATGTGAGGGCCACTCTCTTGCCCAAAAACATGTGGCCAAGAGGAGATTAGTGGATGAGTCTTTCTACCACCTGAGCCACAGTTACCTCTGTAGTTAAACCCTACACTGATAAAAGCTTTAACTGTATTACTGTGGTGGCTTTTAAGGATTCATGTAGACATCATACAGTATGTGTTCTTCCTTTTTTGCATAATGGTGAATGAGGTTGAAGATGATTCTGAGTCATACAAGAAATCTTAGAGGAAATGTGGACCATGGGCTTTGGTCAATATTGAAGTTCAGTACAAAATACCTTGTACAGACAAGGATTTACAGATGCAGTTACCATCTTTTTGAACTCCTAGAATACTTTTTTTCCTGAGGCTGGATGTCTGGTAAGGGACAAGGTTATAAATACAAGGGAACAGAAATAGAATAATGCCCTGTTCTTTGAAATGATTGCTATACTTTCCCAGTTTTGTGCAGTTTCCAAGTTTATAGTTGTATTTTATACATTAGTTATATGTTACTTGGTAAATTATGTAGACAAAAGAGTGACTGGTGAAGAGAGCCAGATATCATTATCAAAAGTAAGTCAACAAAAATTGCAGACTTGCATTTGTCATTGAGGACTCCAAACATAATGACCACCATGGTGCTACATTTCTGTTGAATGTGTTACCTATAAAAATTAGGGAGGATCATAAGGCCAAAGCATGTTTTGGAAATCTGCTTTATTCCATCTGACAGTTCAAAAACATTCAATAATCTCTTTTTGGGGTGAGATTTTGTAGTGACATAGAGCACTTAGTAAACAGCGTTTAACTAATGTAGCGTAGCATGCTTTGACTAACATTTGTCAGTAGCTGGTTAGGCTTGGATTTGCAGCTTTGTGTTTAATTACTTCAACCCACAAACAAAATCCCTATTTGTTTAGCTTGAAAAGACTCCTGGGAATGTTTGAAAGAAGTCCAGATTAAATACAGAACTATGCTGCAATAAACTAAGAACTCAGCTGCATTTGAGGGCAGGAAGGATGTTTGCAGGCCAGAATTGCTGTTGCTCTTTGTAGTTTGTTTTTGTGTTTTGTATGTAGAGTTTAAGTGTGAATTTAAGCTGAAAAAAGTAAGCTCACACCAAGAGTACAGACAGTTCCTTTGTGATCTCAGGAACTGTAGTCCACAAGGTCACGAGAAGAGATAAGTTTTCATCCATTTTAAAAATGTACATCTTTAAGTGGGCTGCAAGGTGACTTGGTGGTTAGCACCGTCGCCTCGCAGCTAGAAGATCCTTCTGCGTGGAGTTTGTATGTTCTCCCCATGCAGCATGGGTTCTTTCTGGGTTCTCCGGCTTCCTCCCACAGTCCAAAAACTCGTTGAGGTTAATTGGTGATTCTAAATTGTCCGTAGGTGTGAATGTGAGTGTGCTTGGTTATTTGTCTCTAAGTGTAGCCCTGTGATGGACAGGCGACCTGTCCAGGGCGTCCCCCACCTTCTCCCCGAGTCGGCTGGGAAAGGCTCCAGCCCCCCTGCGACCCTAGTGAGGATTAAGCGGTGTATAGATAATGGATGGATCTCTTTAAGTTTTTATGGAATGCAGATTCCTGTGTTTTATTACAGATATGGCTGTGCATGAATATACTTGGCTAAATACACTTGACTAATTCATGTAATTTTAAAGAGGATTCTTTTTTTATGTTGAAATTTGAGGGGAAAAAAAGTAGTCAAACTCATGCAAATGAACAAGTGTCTGGCAGCATTATATTTATTGTTTTGAGAGGCTTCTGCTACTTGGCACAACTGATGATCCTTTTCATGATTTATCAGAAAATGCGTGTTTGGTTGGTTACTGTCTGGTTTGATCCTGTTTCACATTTTTGTAATATATACTTCACGATCCATTGCTTTTGTGCTTGAATGCAACTCAGTGGAGTTATGTGAATCTGACCTGGATGTGTCTGCATTACTGCGGTGAAAAATGTCCCTACATCATAACTCTGATCTACATTTGTTTGTCCCTCAGACCTGAGAGTATGACCACACATCTGACCCCTAGTCCCAGAGTGCCCTTAGCACCAGGGTTAAAATATTGTAAGATGCCAAAAACACAGACGGATCAGACAGAGTTACGGTCAACATCTGCCATCGTCCGGCCAACACTTCCTCCCTTCACTTCAACACCTGAGCAGAACCTTGATTTTCATGATCCAACACCTACTTCAGTAAAGGAGCGTTTGGTGAAACCAAGAAGTCACTTGTCCCAGATGTCCATTCAGTTAGGAAATCCAATAGCCCAGCCAGAACCTGTTCAGCCTATAGCCCTTTCTTCTACCAACCGACAGCCTACTTTGACACCGTCCCAGGAACCTTTGTTGTACTTGCCTGAAGCTGCTACAAACTCTGACTCAAAACTAACAGGAGGAACAATAGCTCTTAAAAAAGAAGCTCTAACTATGGACTTGGGGTAAGTGTGTCATAGTCCTCTGTCAGTCAAATCCTCCCAATTTTGTAGTCATAAAAAATGTAAAGTCTTGGATTAGCTCTGAAAATGCAAGCAATGCAGAAGTAAATCATGGTATTTACAGTTTTGAACAGCTTTATAAGGCATTTCAGTCTTTTTATTCTGACACAAATTTTGGTGTACTCTACTCCTTTAGAAATGAGAGCATGGCTACCTCAGTGTCATCTTGTCTCAGAGATGCCAAGTCTGCTTATCCTCCAGTGGTGATGGACAAAATGCAGGAAACTCAGTCTGGAATACGGTCCTCTGTGACAAACGTACAGCGGAAAAAACCACCAAGAAAAATTTTAAAAAGCAAACCTCCCGTTCCAATACCTGTTTTGGATAAGAAAGCTATATGCAACATGACTGTCCAAGATCAGGTCACTTCAAGCTTGGATTCCCACTTTGGACTTATCTCAACACAGCAGCCCACAACAAGAAATTTATCAAAACAAAGACAAGAATCTCATGTGAATTTTGCGTCTTCTTCAACACAAAATGATTTTGTGCTTGGTTTGGAGGACAGTAAAACTGAAAATTTGTCTTTGTTGAAGGACAAGGGACCATTGTGTCAGAGAGATGGAGTTACACAGGAACTTGTGCTACCAAGCTCTGCAATCAGTACCGAAGAAAAGTCTGTGTACATATCTAAGGTGCAACTCGGTCCTTTGTGTCCAAGAGGGAATTTAGTTTCTCATTTACCTTCCACTGTACAGCCTGAAACTCAAATTGGAGGAACAATGAGAGTACCAAGCATGATCAGGTTGCTCACAGGCTGCCCACAATATTCCAGCATTCCTGGCATGGTATCTTTACATCAGTCACAAGTCATGTCTTGGCCAAATGATAGGCACTTATTGTGTCAAAAGTTACCCAGTAACAGGATGCCATTACTCTTGTATTCAAATCAAATTAGTTCACTTAATGAGGATAGTGCTGAAATTGCAAAAATGGTTACCATAATTTCGTCCTGCACCAAGTCAACCAGTATCCCTGGATTCCCATCCACATTGAAACATGAGCCAAATATGACTGACCTTTTACCCACATGCCCCAGAATTTGCAGGATTCCAGGTTTAGCTTCAGTTGTATTAGTAACTGACTATGAAAAGAATGTTTGGGACAGATGTTCACTGTGGAAGAAATCGCTACAGATAAAGGAAGCATTTGTTTTACATGTGCCTTGTGTTCAGGAACAAATTGTCATGAATACTAATAAGATTAAAACCATGGTGGCCATGTTACCAACATGTCCTATAAAGGCCAGTGTTCCAGGGTTTCCTTCTGCACCATTGCAGCAGTCTTCAAACACTCTAAGCATGGCCAATCTTCTACCTACATGTCCAAAGGAGACAATGATTACAGGTATGCCTTTTAGACAAAGCGATATGTCATTTAATGGCAACTGGCATATTCTGAGGGACTCCATCATAGATAGGCCATTGAAAAGGAGTCCTGTTCTGCTTCAGGGGAAGTCACATGAGGATGAAAAACATATAAAACACATGGTCAATATGTTACCATCTTGTCCTAGGAGGCAAACCATTCCTGGGTTTCCCACTGTGCCATGCAAGGACTCAAGTATGGCTAGTGTTCAATTTCCACAAAGGCAAGATTATAGAATGGCAGACTTCTTGCCTTCTTGTCCAAGAAAAACCACAGTCATTGGTTTACCCTCTAAGGAGCCAGTTGGTGAAGGTTTGGTTATAACCAGGCATGTTTTATTAAAGAAACAATTTAGTAAAGGTGATGTTTTGATTCAGGATATATCCCCAGGTGCTGATCAAGAGCCAGACAAAAGAGAAATATTCAGTTCAGTTGCAATGCTACCCTCGTGTCCTGTGAGGTCTTGCCTTGTGGGTATTCCTACGCGACCCCAAAAACTGATACCTAGTGTTGTCAGCCTGGTGGTTATGTGCCCTAAACAGACCCAAATTCCTGGAATCGCTTGTCAAGATCAGAGCTTTTCACAAAACAAAGAATGGCATGTTTTGAGTGGATTAATTAACAAGTCGGCAGAGAAGAATACTCAAACTTACATTGCTCAGTGGATGCCGAAAGATGCAGAAACCATTAAAGATATGGTAAACATGTTGATAAGTTGCCCACAAAAAACCCAAGTGTTTGGTTTGCCTTCAGCTCCACGACAAGAACCCAGTATGGTAAACGTAATGCCCTCATGCCCCAGACATAGTGGAATCCTCGGTATACCTTCAAAGATTGGACAACAAATGGGTTCTCTCCACTGTATGGAATGGTTTACTTATAGAAGCTTACAGTGGGAGACTCCAGTTATCAAAAGGGAAATGCTGAGTGCAAATGCTCCTTTGTGGTTTGATAAAAGAATGTGTGTAATGTTACCCTCTTGCCCTGAAAATGCCAGGGTACCTGGGTTTCCCTCTGCTCTTATGCTGACAGATGGGTCAACTATGGTAAATTTCCTGCCTAGTTGTACAAAACAATCTAGAGTTCCTGGAATGCCACTTAAAGACACCACCAAACAATCTGAGTGGTACACGGAGAGAATGTCACTGTTGTGCCCTAGGGAGAAATCTGTAGTTACCGTTTATGTAGAGGATGTTAGTGTGTTCTATCTGGACTGTGAAATGATTGTAAATATGGTGTCCATATTGCCCTCCTGCCCACGGACAGCCTGCTTACGAGGCTTTCCATCGTTACCATGTCAGATGTTGGAAGATGCACCAAGTATGATAAGTCTGCTACCTACTTGTCCTGTTCAATCCAGAGTTTGTGGATTGCCATCTAGAGTCCACAGTGAGTTGTTTCAAAGAGAATGGAGTGTAAACAAAAGACCAGTATGGGAACAGCCATTAACAAAATCAGGGAGGTCATCAGTAATCCATAACCATGAGATGGTTTTTAGAGAAAATACAGTGGTTAGGATTATGGTATCAATGTTGCCATCCTGTCCCAAACATTCTAATATTCCTGGAATTCCTTCTAAGGCAAGAGAGAGATCAGTGCAAGCTTCCATGAAAGAGGCTGCTACCATGTTAAAATCTGTAGACACTTTTCCAAAGCATAGTACAATTCCAGGTTTACCTGGACAGAATGTTGCAAAAGAATGTGATGGCTGGTATGTGGATAGGAATGCAGTATGGGAGACCCCGTTTAATAGCAGGTATGGAGTTTTTTACCATGATCATACAGTAAAGGATCTGTCATACAGGGAAAAAGACATAATGCTGAGCATACTTCCATCTTGTCCACGACAAGCCTTGAACCCTGGATTTCCATCTGCTCCACGACCCAAAGCTGTTGATGTCATTACTGAAAAAAATCCAGACATGGTACAGATGACGGCATGTTGCCCCAGACAGTCAATAGTCATAGGTTTCCCTTCAAGAGTGTCAGTTTTTTCTGATGCTGAAGTAGGCTGGCCAGTGGTGATGGCAAAGATGCAAGAGTGCTGTGATTTTAACAAAAAGTATTGTTCTCCCCGCAATGAAATAATGAAGGAAATTCTCTCTCTTGAACCTTCATCTGCAGATATTGGTCTTACTTCCTGCTTCACAGCTGTTTCAATGTCTGACACTGACCAACTTCCAAATATGGCAAATATTGTCCCTTCTTGCCCAAAGAAATCATCTGTTCTTGGGCTGCCCTCAACAAATGTGCACCTTTCCGGACAGGGATGGCCAGTTAAAATTCCACAGTGGGAGGACTCAGGACTTGAAAAAAATGTGAAGAAAAAAGAAAAGCTCATGAGTCAACACCTATCATTGGAAGAACAACCTGTTTTACCAGAGGATGTGGAACAAACAATGATTATTGAGTCATCGACCTTTCCTGATAAAGACGCTGTCAAAGATGTATCATCATCAAATTCTGAAGTCCAAGTGAATCAACCATCCTCGAGAGATGAAAAGATTGAGATATTATTGGATGAGGCCAACCCAGCCAGATTAAACAATGACGCACAGAATACAAAATCAGATGTGTCCTCATATCTGGAGATGTATAAAGATGAACAGGGCTTTTGGACACCAAATAAGGAAGATGTAGATGTTCTAGAAAAAGGGTGAGTTGTTGGAGAATTTGAGGTTTCTCTGTAATGTGATTGGGTTAGTGTTTGAAAATTTTTGCTTTTTGATTCTGTTTTCAGAAAGTTGCATTGCAGAATGTGGCACTCCATTCCTGACATGCCACTATTCTTGACTGTTAGGAAGAGGTGGGTGGGTTGCCTTGTTTTGCACTGTGATGCAATGAGGTGATGCATTTTTACAACAATGCATTTGCATCTCACTATTTGCTTACTCATTATGGCAAACTTTATATTTGTTCAGTGTGTCATTTGTGAAGTTGTTAGTTAGTCTGTGGTTCCCAAAATTTGTTAAGTTTTACGTCTTTTCACTTGTCATTGTTTCAGCCTGATGGGTCAACAGAATACCGAAAAGGGAGATGCTACTGTTAAAGAAACAGAGACTATTGAAGTCACTGTTGAGGAACGGGGTTTTTTGCCTTTAGATGTGCCAAATAAAACTTCCTTAGTAGAGTCGATTGATGACATTTCTACACATTATGATACTGCGGGTCAAAAATGTGGTAGTTGCAGTGGGAGTGGGTAAGTGTCAAGTGTCAGGATGCTCTATGTGTTGTGATATATGTTGCATGGCTTTAATTCATTTTGTCCTCATGTGGTAGACCTCATTCGTTGTTGTTCATATTTGAATTATAGTAATACTACTGAGCAACATGTCTTGAAACATAGGTTGCTTAGTAGCACAACCACTAAAGAAAAATAGATTAAAGATAAAGTAAAGGCCCCAAAGAGACCATGTAAGAACCAGGTCAGAAATCTCATGACACACTTAATTGTTTGGAGAGGAGTTCTTAATGTTACAGCAGTGGCTATTAAATCTTTTGAATTAAATCCCGTTTTTGTGAAATCAACCTCAGTAAAGGTTTTGGCTTTTTGTTTGTGGAGTTCAGGTCTTTTTCTCTAGTGGAGTGGAGATGTTTAAATACTAACTGGAGTGACATGTGGGGTGAAGAGCATTTGTTGAATTTGCATGTGTGAGACTAAACTGTCATTTTATAAATAGTAACACGTCGCGATGCGTAACGGTGCTAGATATGTAATTTTGTTTTAATTTTACTGTAAAGCACAGATTGCTTTCTTGCAGATTGATTGAGAAAGACTATCAGACTTACACTGTATTTTGAAAAAAATATGTAGGATTAAAATGCTTATTATGCTAATGTACTAATACATGATTTACATTTTCAATTTGGCATATTCTTACAGTGTGTGTTGACTGTAACTTTGTATTTACCTTCTCTTTAGAAATGAAAACTTGGTTTTACCACAGTCATCATGCTTTGTTACTGGTGCAACAGGACTCTCAACTCAAACCCAAATAAATCATGCTGAACAGCAGTCGCAGAAACATCCTTCAAACAGGATTGTGCAATGGGAGGAGCTACCAAAGGTTGCCACAGAAAAATATCCTACTGACAGGATCATCCTATGGGAAGAGCTACCCAAGGCAGCTACAGAGGAAACTAGAAAAGCATCAGAGGAAGAGGTGGAAATGATAGAAGAAATTGTTGGCACAGTCCCGTTGTTCCCTGGGGTTTCTATGATGTTACACACTGACGATAATGATGTTGATGATGAAATTAAGACGAAAGCAGATGCTGGAGGGGCAGACCTGTTGCCGATATGCCCAACTAACAGTGGCACATTTGAATTTCCTACTATTGTTAAAAAATCAGATGAATCCCTTCTGGCCAGTGACTTTACCTGGAATGAGCCTTCAAAGGATAATGACATTATAACCACTGAGCATCCTCTTCATGTAGAAAGACACGTAGATCTAGCAGAACAAATGATCGATAATAACTCCTCCAACCCAAGTGCACTGTGTGTGCCTTATTTTGTGAAGCCTGAAATTGACCACAGACAGTTCGCTTTATTGGAAACTTGTTCCAGTGTGACGAACATTGCTGGCATGCCGTCCAAATTGCCTGTTAATGAAGAGAAACACTGGTTTATAGAGCAAAAGGTAATTTGGCAGAAATCGTTAAACATGAAGGAAATATTGCCACTGTGTACATTAAAGGAGGATGAAAACCACAGGACGGAAATGGTTTTACTGGCCCCCACTTGTCCCAAGGAGGTTAGAAATCCAGGGTTTCCATCTGTACCGCAGTATGGCTTAGTTTCTCATGGACCAGGTGTGGCAGATATTTATCCCTTTTGTTCCAATATAATCAATATACCTGGTTCAGCATCAAATGACAGCACATCATGGATATCTCAACTGGAGCCAGTCTTTGAAAAGAAAATGAAAACTGAACTTGGTACCCTGACAGTTCTACCAAAAGAAAAGGATGAAATGAAACAAATGGGTGCAGTGGTACCAACAAAGGATTCATGCATACCAGACATCACATCAATTCCACCACCCACTGTGTCACATCATGTAGCAGAAGGGATTAGCATTTCAGGTTCTTGTCCAAACGCCTCTCAAATTGAAGGCATTCCATCATTATTGGAGCATCATTTGTGCGAAACTAGGGCTACAGATTACAAACCCTTTGCAGTAACACAACCAAAAATTAACAAAGTCATGATTGAAGATAGACCTCACCATGATGAAATGGAGGCCATGTCATTATTAGCCCTAACCTGCCCCCAAAAATCTTCTATACCTGGATTTCCATCTGCTTTTGAACCTACCATCATCTATAATGTGTCTAGTGGGGTTAATCTTCTTCCATCTTGCCCAACTGTCTCAAGCATGACTGGCTTTCCATCACTACAGAATGCTGACAGCAAAGACTGGAACACCATTCATGTGCCATTATGGGAGAAGCAAACTCAAAATGAATCTGTATTTCTACTGGAGGACAATAAAATAGACACAATCATGAAAGGAGCTGTTTCACTTGCACAAAGTTGCCCAAAAGAATCCTGCAACTCAGGATTTCCCTCTGCACCAAAACCCAGCATCACTGATGTTGCTGACATGACAAATATGGTCAGTCTTTCAAATTCATGCACACAAGTGTCTCAAATAGCAGGATTTCCATCATGTCATGATCCAAAAGAGTGGACAATCAGCAAGGAGCCACTTTATGAACCACAGATGAAAGAAGAACAAGTGTCACTGATTGACATATGTGAAAGAGATAAGAAAGCAGAGAAAGCAATGGTTTCTCTTGTACAGTCCTGTCCCAAAGTGTCAAGTATTCCAGGTTTCCCATCTGTTCCACATCCCAAAATTGTGCATTATGACTTAAATGTAGTCAACCTCCTTCCTTTGTGCCCTCTAATTTCTTCTATACCTGGATTTTCATCAATTGAAGAACACAAGCAAGAAGGATGGGCTTCTGGATCGGGTTCATTGATGCACAGGCCACAAAAGAATATCCAGTTCAGGATTAAACACTCCCCAATTAACATAGACGATTCAAGCTACATGCTTTCTCTGGCTCCGTCTTGCCCAAGAGCATCAGTAATTCCAGGAATCCCATCTGTTGCCCGATACAATATTGTAAGTCTCAAGTCAGCTTGCCCCGAAGTATCCAGTTGCCCAGGATTTGCGTCCTATGATGGGAGCTCCAAATTTGGATGGATTTTTGATCCACACGCTCTGTATGTTAATCTTCCAAAAGAGACAGTTTTTGTGACTGACAGTCCTAAACAAGATGGGCAAACTGTGAAGACAATGTTAGCCTTAGCACTGTCTTGCCCAGAAGCATCCAGGATCCCTGGATTTCCATCTGCACCTCAACCAAAATCCAAGCTTGAACCCAGTATGGTAAATTTTGCATCTTGCTGCTCCACTGCTTCACGTCTTGAAGGATTTGCATCCATGACTATTGTCCCAAACATAAAGTGGCTAAGTGGAACAAAGCCAATTTTACAAAAACCTCAGAAGAAGAGGGCAGAAGTAATTATTCCACATACTGGACTGGAACAACTGGACTGCTACAACATAAAAGGCATGCTGACATTAGTGACATCTTGCCCAAAAAAGGCCAGATTATGTGGTTTTCCTTCTGCTGAAATTGGAAATAGACCACCAGATATGGTTGGTTTATGCACATCTGCTCCATGTGTTTCATGTGTTCCAGGTTTTCCATCATTAAGAATGCTTAGCTATGAATGTACAAATATACAAACGAGGACAACAAAGAACAAGATCTTGTTTGAAAAGCTGCAGAATGACAAGATTCTGATTGCAAATTTTCCTGCAAAACATGAACATAAACAAGATGAAATGAAGGACATGGTAGCAATGGCTTCATCATGTCCAAATCTGACTCAAATTCCTGGACTTCCCAGTATTTCACAGTTAAATCCAACAATAGAAGAAACAATCGCTATTCCATTGCTGCCTCCTGCTGAAAAGTATACAATGCAAGAATTGCCCATTGCACAGTTATGTCTCAAAGACACAAGAATTCCTGGTGGTCCCTCTGCATCTGTTAGCTGTCCCAGTACAGAACTTAAAAATGGTGAGATATTTGCAAAGTTAAGATCAAGCTCACATTTACCTTTCTTTATCCTGTTTCTTTTTGCACATTTTGTTATGTTTGCTTTTATGACAGAGAAGAAAGTCAAAGATGGTGCAAAGCAAAACATAGAACTTTGTGTTGATAATGGGTAAGTAAAAAAGCCCAGCCTTCTTGCATTTTTTAATTTATTTTTTTTTGGTGTGCGAAGGTTTTAGTGTTTGCCTAACATGGACTATTTGGACCAATAACCTTATAGTGCATGGTAGATTGCATTTTATTCTTTGCATTTTTATTATGTTGCTGTATGAGCCCAAAGGATCATGCCTCCAAATCCTTTATATTTGGGTCCTCAGCAAATCACAAGTAAAGAGGACACCAGGAGAGGAAGCCCAAACTGTGAAGAAAACAGTGGACACATCAGAGCCAGTAGGAGTCTTGGGTTGGGAAGTATTGGAGACAGAGGGAACAATGACAGAAAAACAGTCAGATTCCTCTATGTCAGCAAAGGAGGAACAGACCTTTGGATTAGTAAAGACTATTGTAGGTGTTTTCCACAAAGGGTAAGTGTAAGATTGGTCTGAAACTAACAGTGTGAAGCATGCAGTAAGCCTAAATGGAGAATGTGATATTTACTAGTTCAGTATAACTCATTCTCTTTCCAAATGTAGATTTGAGTGTAGAAAAAAATAAAAACTGGACTGCATTTGCCTGGGAACTTATTTTACAATTTTCTATGTTTATTCATTTTTATAACTAGCAACATGTTTATTGTAAACATTGTTTTTGCATGGTATCAGATTTCATTCACTCACACCAGTATCCATCCATTTCTCACAGTTATGAAACAGTAGCATCCATTTTGGGGCCATCTAGCTTGGCTTTAGCTGAAGTTGATCACCAACCCAAGGCTGTCTCTTCTATGGATCTAAATGCCAAGACAGTGACCCCTTCGGATGAGTTTTTCCCACAGTTCACAGATATCCCTGCATCCATACAGAAGACAGACGACAAGTTTGAAGACATTCACACCACACTTGCTGAATATTCAACAAGTGTGGAGCCTTACATGCAGTACTTGGTAGATGATAGAGGGTCTCCATCACCAACTACCGACAGTGAAGAGCAGTTTTTAGTTTGTGCAAGCATGAAGAAATGGCCGCCATTGACAGAGGCAGATATCACTGAAATATCAAAACAAGATAATAAACGGCAGGACTCTGAGGTAGAGACTGAGGTAGAACAGGATGAGGTTAGAACAGTGTTGACTTCTTCGTTGCTGGACAAAGGGTGAGTGCTGGTGGACTATGTTTGGTTGCACGGTGTGTACATGTTCTGCATTTTTGGTGATAACAGTTCTCTTGTTCTGCTTATAAGCACTTACTACTCAGAAAATTGTGAGGGACAGTCAGCTGTTTGTAATAGCCAGAACTGGCATTGTGAGTGGAATGGTAGTATTGTTTTTCTTCATGAAAGCTGTTGTTCACTAAAGTCAGTTTTGTCTTTGTCTCCTTTATTTGCTGCTGTGCTGTTGTCACGATAGTGCGCATGTAAAGCAGAATATTATAAATGACGTTCACTTGTGCTTATTTTTGTGTTTTAAGGTTTGGCTTCTGTATTTTTGGTCAAGAAGATAAATAGTTTGAGATAGGGTGCATGCTACAAATGTTTGACAAAATCAAGAACAGCAAATTCTGAAGCTTTTCCTTTCTTTTCCTTAAGCCCCCAACAAAACAGCTTGGAAGAAATGTCAGCTACATCCCTGCAGCCTACATCAAACAACCCACTTACAAATACTAATACACATAGAGAGGTACTCTTGGACAAACCGTCAGATGATCAAAACATTAGTCCAGTTACAGCACAAACTGACATTGCTGTCCCTCAGCGGGGTAGAAAGCCGAAGCGAAAAGTTCAAGAACCTCAACAGAAAGGCTGTGATCAAGAAAGAGACAGTGTTCCTGTACGACCACTCAGGAGGAAGGATAGTTTAACGCCAGACCGCAAACAACAAGTTGACGTCTTGTCTGTCAAGTGTCTCCCTGAAGTTTTTCCAGTTCAGTCTGTAAAGAAAAGTGCTACTGGTGAAATATTTCCTACACAACCGGCCACTGATGTAGCCCCCTCTTGTAACATAAAGAAAACAGACAGTAATGTTCCCCTAGGTGTACCTCAGAATAGTCATCAACTTGAAAGTGTTACCGCTCAAGTGACGTCTTCCACAGATGACTGCAAACACAAAGGGGAAGCTGAATCAGCGCAAATATCCATGGATGTCATTCCTCCTCCTCGTGTAAAAAGAAGAGACGATAGTTTGTCACCTGAAACTAGACAAAGAAATGCCCCTTACAAGCCACTACGTGTCACTACAGAAAAATCTGTTCCAGTAGTTCATGACCAACATAATTTGAACACTACAGTTAGTTCTACTTTGGAAACAGATCTTGTTATTTGCCAACCTTGTGAGAGAAGCCCTGATGTCTCAGGTAGTCTTGAACCATTGCTGAACATTGATAAACTCAGTCAAATTGCCAATGACAAGAGCTTCTCACAAACAACAGAGAAAAAAGATCACATAACCAGAAAACTTTCTCAAGAAGCTGATTTGGGTGGGAGTGCATCCCTACGGACAGATACAGAATTGGTGTGCTCAAAGGACACAGTACACATCTCCTGTCCTCTGGAATGTCCCAAAAAAGATACTGATACTTCTATCCAGGCTTCCTCTCACAAAATTCCACCCTCTGACACTAAAGAAATTCAGAGCATCAGGCCAAAGTCAGAGGTATTTCATGTTGAGCAAACTGCTCCCCTTTCAATCATTAAGAAGATACGTCTTCCTCAACGTGGCAAGAAATTGCCTTCAAGCAAATCTGGAAGAACAGGCAGTGAGAAGACAATTGTGGCACAAAATGTTGAAAACAAGGAGACTATTACACCAATCCAGTCCAACACAACAGTGGGTAACATAAAAGAAACAAAGTCGCCAACAATAGCTGATAGCAGATCTGTTGGTGCAATTGATATCACATCTTCCCAGAAATCAGATACAGATGCAGAAAGTGACAAACACAAAAGTCAACCTATCCCAAGGCCTCGTGTGAGGAAACGTTTCAGTGGCTCATTCCCAGATGATTTTGTAGCTACAGAGACAGCATCTCGGGCTTCTACCGGAGAAGAGGCACAAGCAACAAGACAAAGTGGACCTTCATCCGTTTCTTCAAGAACTAGTGCATTGTCAGTGGAGCAACAGAGTAAAGACATTTTGCTTCTTCCTCCAGCTGAACAACCTTCTACATCTATAGAAGAAGAGACTAGTGTACAGTTGAGGAGAAGTAGATTTTCAGTTGAGAAAATTCTTCAAGTGGAAGATAATGAGACTTCAGAGAGAACACCAAAAACCTCAAGCTTGCCTGTGCCAAAACCAAGAGTAAAGAAACGTCTCAGTGATTTGTTCCCAGATGCCGCAGCAATTTCTGGCTCACCACCTTCCTGCCAGTCAGACACCATAGCTGATACCATTGATCCTGAAATGGTTTTACAAAATGAACAGTCAAGCTTGCCTGTTCCATTGCCTCGGGCCAAGAAACGCCTTAGTGCAACTTTTTCAGATAGCACACAACCCGTAGACAGTTTATTTTCCAAAGACATGGAATTGTCTCAGACAAACCCAAATGATAAAACTGTCACTAGTAAGGAAACAAAGGAAGGCTCAGCATCACTGGATTCAAGTGTGATCTCTGAAGGAGGTTTTGTTGCAATCCAAAGTGAAGATGATGTTTCATTGGAATTGGAAAGGGAAGTGCTTGCAGCAATGCAAGAAGAATTTACTGAATCATGCTCTGTAGAAGACACTGATGAAATCATAGAAGGCTGGACCTTTACGGATGAACCTGTTATTACAGATGAACCAGGGAAAGCTACAGAGCCAGTGCTTGAGCAGGTTGACGTTGAAAAAGTCTTGGAAGCTGAGGTTGATAGGTCACTTGCTTCAACTGTTGCTTCCTCTCAGGATGACTGGCTGCATGTAGAGGATGATAAAGACAGTGAACTAATGGAAATAAACATAAGGAAGGAAATAAGGGATGAAGAGTTGGACTTTGGCTTTGTTTCTGTAGATGTAGCTGCAGGTTGTTCAGAGAATCAAAGGTAAGCCTAGTCAATATACATTCAGGTGTGGGGGGTGTATTCATAACTGAGACGTGTGTTTTCCATCATTGATTCTTTACACAATAGGATGTCACCACATTTTCTAATTATTTAACTTTGTCAGTGTATGTGGTTTCAATAGCAGCACGGTCTTGTAAGTCATCAATAACAAGTGTGTTGGTTTGAAAACAAACATGCCTTCTGAAAAAAAGTGGGTTTTTAAAATCACTTTGTTCTGTTTTTGTGTGTCTTTCCAGGCAAAGGGAAAGTGGAGAAGAATCTGCAGGTTCACCTGTACCTGTACCTCGTGGCAAAAAGCGTTTAAGTGGTTCTTCCCTAGATGACAGCAAGTCCCAAGTTTCTGCCCTCCAATCATCAACAACCCCTCAGAAAAGACCTGCAGATGGGGCTGCCTCTCCAAATGTATGTTCAAGCTGCATTTAGCAACATATGCGTTTTAATAATTGATCTGATGACTGCATGCGATGTGCAACATATTCTGTGGACTCAAGGAACTCACCAAGAATTATCACCATCTTTGCAGTTCCGCTAAGTTTTAAGGAGCTTGTTAAGTCTTTATTTTTGTTTTGTAGCCCACAAACTGGTCACCTTAACCCCTTTTCCAGCAGCAGCATGTGTTATTATTTTCCTCTTGTCCATATTGGCCAAAAATACTAACAAAAAAAGATTGTAATTGAAGCTTTAATAATTGTCTTTGTTTACTTAAGACCTCTGACAAAATCACATTTCTGCTACAATCATTTCCCAGTATTGTTACCATGTGTCTTTTAGAGCCTTTCAGCCAATCCCACCTTGGTGATGTCTAGTCAGTCTCTACTGGAATGGTGTCAGGAGGTCACAAAGGATCACAAGGGAGTAAAGATCACCAACTTCAGCACCTCCTGGAGGAATGGCCTGGCCTTTTGCGCCATCTTACATCACTTTGACCCAGGAAAGATGTAAGAAACAGCTGACATATGATTCGTACTACATACACTGTTTATGAGATTATTTTATCTTCTTTTGCTGTTTTCTAGAAATTATGAAATGCTGGATCCGTATGACATCAAGCACAACAACAAAAAGGTGATTAAGCAGTTGTGTTTTTCTTTAATTACAGATAAGCATAATTGTTGGTTGCTAAGTCCTAATATAACCACATATTTATATGTTTCTTAATTTATTGCAGGCCTTTGATGGCTTTGCCGAACTTGGCATTTCCAGATTGATGGAGCCTTCAGACATGGTCATGATTGCAGTACCTGACCGCCTTATCGTCATGACTTACCTCAACCAAATCCGCACCCATTTCACTGGCCAAGAGCTCAGTGTGCTGCACATAGACAAGAACAGCAGTGAGTCAAGCTATGCCGTAGCAGGGGACCGGGAGGGCCAAGAGGATTCTGAAGCAACTGTTCGCTACTGTGCCCAGAGGCTCCAGGAGGAGGGTATAAGTCTTGAGACTAATGGGAGTGTAAGCAGTGCAGACAAGGAGAGTAAAACCAGTAAGGATGTTGTTCCACCTCCCAGAACAAAACGATTGCAAGTTGCAGGGGAAGGTGGAGCTCAGTCACCAGTGGCACCGCCAAGGACTCATTTCCTGTCTAAGTCAGGCTTCTCTCATGTCAAAGACGCTGATCTGGTCAAGAAACGTAGGTCACAGCGGAGGAGTGGGTCAGTAGAAGAAGGAGACATATCAGTGGTATGATGCCTTACTACCTTATTCATTTATCCCTTTCAGTCTCAATGTTATCGTCTTCTCTCACTTTTCTGTAATGCCTGAGGAACTGTTTTTGGTCTCTGTAGGCTGTTGCAGCGCAAGAAGATCAGAGAAAGTCAGATACTGGTTAGTTCTTTTGGAGATTTTTTTTAACCATCTCTTTTTAAAACTTTATTTTGTTTGTTGTTGATTTTATGTCAATGTGATCATTCTTAATTTAAAAAAAAAAAAAAAATATATATATATATATATATAATTATTCTTATTATTATCTACAGACTTTGTGGACGAAGAGGAAAGACCAGAAGGCCAGGTCAGGAAACAGTTTATTGTAGAGCGTAATCTTTAAAACTGTTTCCAAACTGAAGTTGAGTTTATAAGAAGTGGCAATTCCCTAGCTAGCTTGTTTCTCTGTTTCAGACATGGTCACATGCCTATCATTTTTATTTAATTATGTATAATTAATAGAAAAACAGCGTATGTAGGTAATTGCGTGTATATATCAATGTATCCAGGACCCCAGCCAGTATGTGCTGAATCAGATGGAAGCCCTGGAAGCAGAACAAAATCACATTGATACCAGAGCAGGTGTGGTGGAGAGGAAACTCCGACAGTTACTGGAAACAGGTAGAGTACTTCATGGCTGCAGATAGATGCTTGTTAAATAAAATTTAAGTATAATTGTAAGTATACAAATTGTAATGTATACACTATTATTTTGAGGTACTAAATTATTGATTTAAAAGGAAAAAAAAAACAAAACAAAAAACTATAAAAACAGCATTCCTGGTCTTTTTCATGATTGGAGGATTAGGATCTGAAACTTCATTGTGCCAATGTAGGGAAGAAAGAATATGGCATTAACTAGGAGAAGGGTGACTGTAATGTGACTTTGTCCTGCAGGAAGTGACAAGGTGGAAGAGGAGAGGTTGATTCAGGAATGGTTCATGCTGGTCAACAAGAAGAATGCTTTAATCCGGAGACAAGACCATCTGCAGCTACTGTGAGATGCACACAGTAGTGGATGTTCAGACCATGTGTTGTATAAACTGTACACCATTCAGAATTGACAAAATAATCTCACCACATCGTCCATTTTGAAGCTTAGCTTAAAGGAATCACAGCATAGTCTGTGGTTGTAAACTCTGTCCAAGAGGAGAACTATAAAATCCAAATATTGGGTATTAATTTACTGTCTTTTACGTGTAAAAGGTTTTGCCGCAAAGTATCTATTCTTGACCTTTGATTTGATGGTTTTAATAGTTTGCTTGCTTTTTTTTAACCTTTCGACTGGAAGTTATCTTCATCAGCAGATGGACTTTTCTCACTTGTCATGGAGATGTCTCAATACTTGTCACGTGATAAACCATCTTCATCAGTACTGACAACACTACATTGGCCTATATGATTGTAAGATGCAACGAAGAGCTCTTGAAAAAGTCCTTAAGTGGACCTAAAGTCACAATTTTGTCTAAAAACGTAGCATGTAAACAAATGGGACTGTGTATATTAGTTTTTTAAGCTATAGGATAATCCCCTTCCCCAACCCCACCCTGAATAAGTACCAATGTCATTTAATTGACAGGTTGGAAGAACAAGACCTGGAAAGAAGATTTGAGCTGTTAAACAAGGAGCTGAGGGACATGATGGCAATTGAAGGTACAACTATATTTAAACACCATAGGTTGTGGTTTATTAAATGAAGACTGTAGTTTTGTACATGTGGCAAATAAAAACATGTTTTTTCTACTGTGTAAGTCTGCTGAGGAAGTGCCTTTAAGTATGGTTTAGTTCACACTTACAACTTCTCTTTTTAACAGTGAATAAGGAAACTCTGTGGGGAGCTTACAGCTGAGACAAGCAGCATTCTGGGAATGAGGGTTCAGAGTTTTAAAAAAAAAACTTCTAGCTCGGCACTTAAAATCCACTTACGCCCAATTATATTAACAGTCATGTTCCACTCAAATACACCATCCTAAATGCAGTCATACGTTAACCTGTCTTTTAGAGTAGTGAGAGGAGTGATGTAGGTGGTTATGTGTGTTTAATGATAGCTAATGGCAGTTCCTGTTATTGACTACTCAATTTGTTAGCATCAGTAAACTTCCTTTAAACTCTAACTATTCTAAAACAAGCTTTTAGGTTTGATGGAGTTCCATCATTTTCCACTTCATCATTTTCCTTCTTTTCTCTCTCAACTGTTGTTCTCTGCCTCACCTATTGTCCTTTGTTTTTTTCCTGTTGCTTTGTTGTGCAGAGTGGCAGAAGACTCAGGTCCATAAGCACAGAGAGCAGCTGCTCCTTCAGGAGCTCGTGTCACTGGTTAACCAGAGGGACGAACTGGTCCACAATATGGACGCCAAGGAAAGAGGGTGAGACACAATCACTGTGGTGGTTGGGGGGTTACCAAAGTCCATGTGTAACACCTACATGATAAATGTGATAGATGTGATGAACTCACACCCTTGGATACACATATATGTGTGACTACCAAATATTTTTTTAAATACCAGTGATCTGCTTAAATAGAATTACTGCATCCTGGGTTAGAGAGCAGAACAAATCAAGATTGAACTATTTTTTCCCGTTGTATTACTAGTAAACCACTAGGTGGCTGAATAGTGTAAGACTGCAACAGCCAGCTACAATCCAGTTTGTAGAGTGTTGTCATGTAGGACCTGTAGTACAGGAGGATGTGTTCAAATATGTCAGGATAAACCCACATTCTACTCAGCAATATCAGAGTAGTATGAGAAAGACAAAGAAAACAGCCACAGCCAACAGACTCAAAGACAATTCCGAAATAATGATAATAAGACATGCAGCTGTTAGAAGTGTGAAAAAAAGATCCTTGGTCGTATGGTTTCCTGCCTCTGGAACTGCACCTGAATATTTTGTGTCTGACATGGTTTCTCCATTAAATAACATTCAGCTACCTTATAAAGTTTCTTAACATCCATCCATCCCTCCATTAGCTTTACACGCTTTATCCTGCTGAGAATTGTGGGGTCCATCCATTAATGCATCAATTTTCCATTCACTGCTTTTTTCTGGGGAGGGTTGTGAGGAAACCAATCCAGGCACAGAGAGCAAATGCAAACTCCACACAGAAAGTGCCCAGCTGGTTTGATCTTCTTGCTGTGAAGTGACATTGCTAACTGCTGCACTGCCTCAAATGTCACAGTGAAGTAACAATAGGAAACATATGTGAATGAAAAGAAACTTAGATGTTCTCTGTGAACATTGTCTAGCTTTAGTGGATCAAACACAAGCAGCCCCAGCTGACTAGTCATAGTTCCTGTAGTCTACATAGGGTATATCCTTTTCCACTGTACCCCTGATGTGGGAAGACGTGATGACTGGAATGTAAACTACGTGTTGCAGCTCGGCACACCGACAATTAAGTTTAATCAGTACACCTGTTTACATCTGAGGCATAGTGGCTAGTTTTCACTGTCTACAGGTTTACCTGACATATGACTTAGTCAGTACTTTGAACTTTCCAAGGTGACTTCTGAATTCAGAGCTTCAATCGTTTCATATATCACTACACCAAACGTAAACTTGTCCTCTTATCGCATCTTATCTTTTTCAGCTGAGCTTTTATTTGCGAAATGGGGGAGGATATACAACAAATTAGAAGCAAATAAGAAGTGCTTCTCAGTGAAGTCAGTGTCTGTGGAATTCATCCAAACCCTGGTTTAGACTTTTGCGTGAATGTTTGAAGTTTGTGACCTCTTAGTTGAGCTTCTATTTACACACAGGGTTGACTGAAGTTGTATTCAAATTTAAATTGTTAGAACGCATATCTTGATGAAACCTTGCAGTTGGCTGACAGTGCAGCAACAGCAACCATAGTACTCCACCCTGTAAGCATTCACATACTGTACTCATACTGTGGTCATTTTGACTGAGTATATAATCACTGACGTTACACACAAGAGGCAAAAGAAGAAGAATGGCACCCAAAGGCAAAGCCTCAAAGGTTGCAAAGTGATGTGAAGTGCATGCAGAGGCTGTATTGATTCAAGTACAAGAATCTGTTCCATCAGAAATGTGAGATGCACATCTGAAGCACATAGTGTGTACACAGCGTGTGACTCTCCTTCTGTCTCCTTATCCTCAGAGGTCTGGAGGAGGATGAACGCCTCGAACGTGGCCTGGAGCAGCGAAGGAGAAAGTACGCTAAACAGCAGAAAGAGAAGTGTGTGATGCAGTGACTCTATAAACCCCCAGCCTTCAAACGCTGGGTCACCCGTCTGAAAGAAAGTGGGTCAAAGGAAATAAAAGACTTGACAGTTGTGCTCGATCCTCCTCGTCCTGCTGTAAAAATTGATTGGCATGGCTTTAAGTTAACAGTAAGGTGACATTTTAGTCAAACCTGTTACCACAGCTGATCCGAGGAGGGTGCTACCCATGAAGAACACGTTACAACAGTGTGGGCTTGCTGTGTATTTCTATTGATAACTTAGATGTTCCAGACCCAGAGTTGTACTCTTACAAGCGTTAATTACAGTATGTTTAGGTCCTGTATAAATTGCACTGTTAGATGTTTGGTTTGCTCTCCTTTTTCGGTGGTCAGAATGTGGCACCAGGCTCGATTTTATAAACTGAAGATCAAAGCAGTCAGTGCAAAAATCATTTTCACATATTTACATTTTTGGACAATATAGAATGCTCAGCACACAGGGATGTTGACCCGTTCAGCAGAGGAGGTGCCAGTGCCATTTGCTTTACAGTTTCTTTAGTATTTTTCTGTTTATTAGCACTGCTGTTACATGTTGTGATAATGAATGTAAAGTATGTTGGAAAATGGAAATGTTTGGCCCAGTCAAAAACACTTTAGACTAGGGTGAACAGGGATTGATGGTCTTGAAGACTGACAATAGCACTGACATGATGGGATTGGACCGGCTGATAACCAAATGACTATAGATCTTAGCTAGACTAGGGAGCCCCATCAATAGCCAAAAAGCCCTCCAAAGTGGATAGCAAAATACAGTCCGTCATTTTGTTCTAAAACCACCATATAAATGTCTTTGCTTTTATTAGCAGGACATTATAATAACATGACTGAACATTATTTTATTATACATTATAAGTTCCCTTTTCCATTGGAGTAAGGATTTGTTAAATTTAGGCTTAAAGGACTAGTGTGTAGGATGTAGTGGTATTTGGCAATTAGTGTGCTGATTGCACACAACCAAAAACACCACACCTCCCCCTCCCCCTGTGTGTGCAAGAAATTACTGTGGCTGCTAAAAATGCAAAAGGCTATCTCTAGGATCAATGTTTGATTTGTCTGTTCTGGGCTACTGTAGAAAGATGGCAGGGCAACATGAGAGAGGACCTGCTCCTTCTGGAGATGCTCATTATAAGGTAATGAAAATCCAGTGATTTGTACTTACAGAGGATTATACACAACTGAAAAAAAAGGAATATTTTATTCCATTTCTGCCAATGGGTCTGTCGTACACCCTACACACTGGACCTTTAGAAAGTACCTAATTATTACCAAAGGTCAAAAAGAACAGCTGTGGTCATTGTGCAGCTCAGACTTCTAACTAACTAATTTCTTTGATTCATTTAAAACTTTATTATTTATTTAGACATATCAACTGTAGAAGCAGGGACAGTTATGTCTGCCTCATTAATAAGTACTTTAACCAAAGCTAGTCACCTTTATTATTACAGCTTTTAACTTCCGTCTGTGTACAAACTGTTGTTTCAGTACGGTAGCATTTAAACTCTGTGTAAACTGACCATAAAACTGACATTTCTGAGACTTGAGATAAGAGACTTAGTTGCCCCTGAAGAACGAAATGTGGATGGGTGGTAAGTATTTCAACACTTTCAGTGAGTCCTCTCATTTATTTTTCTGTACAAGCCAAATATTACTGAGCACAATATTGATATTTACTAAGAGTGAATTGACATCTTCATTGCTTTGAGTGTGAAATACAGCTTCCTTTTTGGTTTTGTTCTGAGTTTTTACTGTTTTTACTTCAGTAGAAGGATATTCTGTAACATTACTGCACCTGAAAGTTTCTTTTTGTGTGTAAAAGTTTGCAATTCTCTTGTTTTCCTGACGGTTATAACCAACAATTGTATGGAATCGTTACAGCTTGTCAGAAGGATGATGTTGGAAAGTTTTAATTTTTGGCTTTTATGTAACATTTGCACTATTTGTAAAGTTTGCAAAAATACAAAAGATGTGAATGCCTTTACACATCATGCGGTAGTTTTTCTTCTCAGTAAATCTGTTGCCGTACATTTCTACCAGTACTTAAAATTATTAAGAATTTATTTATATTCAAAGGGTGATGATAGTCACTTTACACTGCAGATGGCCACTATTTTGTACTTTTTAAGGTTAGCATCTTGATTTTGTGTACAGTCAAGGCTGGATGATGAGAGCAACTGCCCCCTGAGGCTCTTGATTACATCTGACTAATTGCATGAAAAGGCATAAAATAAACTAAAAATGTAGCGTCCAAACCACATACTCCTGACCTTACAATTGAGTTCTAAAGTCATGTGGTCTATTTGATATTTACCTTTTAATTCTGGGGGAAAAAAATAACTGAGAGAGGTGTTCAACCTGCAGTTACCTTCTGATATAATTCAGAAAAGGAACA